ACGGCCGTGCTCACTCACGCCTGTCGGTGCGCGGTCCAGCCTGGGACATGTCGGCGCAGATGAAGGAGACGCGCAGAGCCAGGGGGTTGCCTGCAAGCACCAGCTGAAGCCGACACTGAAAGTACAGCAAAAAAGGTTTTGTGTGTGTTTTTTTTTTTTTTTTAAAAGGTCTGCTGGCATGTGAGGGAAACCGACACAAATATGATTTATGCACTGATTTAAAATGTGGGCGAGGAGCAGGAGATACCGATTTATTACTCTCCCTCGTAGAGTTTCGTTTCCCTTGCAGAACCGTGAGTGAGATTGAATTCTGCATTGAAAGCAGAAGTTATGCCGTCGCTTTTCCCAAGCAGCACTGTGTCCAGTAGCACTGTATTATGTCAAAAATCTGGCATGGCAGCCAGTGGCACATCTGCTAGGTGTGGATGACATTCATTAGCCAAGGTTCTCTGCTAAACGGCCTGCCAGAGTCTCAGCAGTAATGTCCAATGCCAATCACTCGGCTGCTGCCAGCTCAAAGGCAATCCTGCTTCAAGGATGGCTTTCTTCCATGCTGGCACAAGAAACAGAGGAAACAATGCATTTAGATGTTTGGGATGTGAGTGAGGTTGCATATGGGAGCACCAAGCAGATGTAGCAGAAGAGGAGATGAAGTTGTGAAGTGTCATTTAATAATTGCAGCACACAGGAGATGGAGCAGCAAGTCGAGGATTAGGAAGGGAAAGCGTTAACGTCTTTCCCAGATACGGGGTGGACAGTAGTGGCTGCTTTTTGACAGCACAGGTAATGAGACTAATCCAGTAAATCGTGTTTGTGCCCATAAAGGACACGTGACGTCTTCAGCATGGGGCCGCTACACATCAAGGCAGCCTGGAAAACAACTTTAGGCCTGTGAATGTGTCAGTCTCACATCTTGGGATCCATGCACGTGAGTCTGAGATTCAACAGCGAAGCAATCAGTGAGGACTTAGAGATGCCATTTTAAGTGTGCTGTGCAGAGAGGTTTCTTCCTTGCTTTTAGGTTTTTTGGAAATAAACCCAAGCAACTTGGAAGCAGATCTTCTGTGGAGGAGCTCTTCAAAACCACCCAAAATTGATGGCAGGACAACTCTGCAAAGCTTGCCTCGCCACTGCCTGGACGCAACACGCCCGGAACTGCTTTCCCACACAGGGACTTCAGACATCGCCCGCTGCCTTCTCACGGGAACAAGCTGCACATAACCGCTCGTTAATCTGACTCAAGGTGGTGTTCCTCTCTGGGAGTCCACCCAGTGCAATCTGGACATCCTCTGTGCTCTTGACTTAGGAGGTTTGGAGCTGTTTTTGACATCTTGGTTTATACACATGTTCTTTTCAGGCAGGCCAGATGCTAGAGCAGGCCAGATGCTCACCGCACATAACACGCTCTCATTTGAGTGATCTGAAGGCAAGAGATGGAGGGAAGAAGCACCTGCTCTGCACTGCTACTACCATCTTTCCATGAGGAGAGGCTCAGTTTCTCTCTGCTCATAGCCCTTGTAAAGTTTCTTGCTCCCATCAAGTGATTAAAATACCTTGTGACAGTCTGGATGTAAAGAAGGTGCTGGAAGCCGCCTGACCTCATGGCTGCCTCGCAACTGTAGCCAGCCACTGCGCTGGGTGTAACAGGACCTGGTGCGAAGGGTTGCAGCCTAGGTAGAGTGCAGGAGGTCCTCTACCCATAGAAGTTACTTGTAAGTTACAACCATTCATTTGTGGTGACGGGATCGTCTGAAGTGGCGATAGTGAGGGATCAATTTGCTAATGCTACCCTCTTTTTGCTTTCATAACGTTACAATCACTTAGTGGGACTTGAATTTGATCCAACATTTCATTTTCAGTGAACCGAGGAAGTAACTTCAAATAGCTGAAAACTTACCTAATTTCTCTGCCTTTAATTCTTCAGCTTCTACTTCTATTTACATCCATTCCTTGTAGTAGTGGTTCAAAAACGTGCAAAACGCTACCTACACACGAGAACATACAGTCCTTGCCTCAAAGATTAATTTCAGTGACAGCCTCGGGATCTTAATACTTCAACTCCTTTTTTTGTTAAAACTATGAAAGACCATGGGCAGCCTCCAGTACCCTTTAAAAAAAAATAAATAAAAATAAAACAAAACTTCTTTCGGCCAGCCAGAAAAAGATGAGCTTTTTTCCCCAGTCTTGGCCTCTCTGCAATTATCTGTGCTTTTAAATCTCCACATTCATTTTTCCTGTGGACCCTTAACAGCACCAACATCCATGCTTCCTTCACCACGCTAGGGTCTTTCACGGTGGTGGTGACTGTCTCTAATGCCATGTGTGCTCTGCCCCAGGCTTATGAGAGGACTCTTCCCATACCCTCTGGTTGTGGTTCCCCCGATTTCCCCTGCCCAGCCATCTGTAGTGCAGGCTAGTTGTAAGCCCTTGTCCTTTTAGCCTTCTGCTCTGACCTCCCTGGGAAGTTTTGATGATCAGCCTGTATTTTGGGTTGCGTGCTATTCACCTTCTGCTTTGTTTCTGAGTTCGCTTTTGTTCTGGTGTTCTCGTTCCGCGAATTATATTTGCACCACTTTTTTTCCTTTTCATAGTTTGACACCTACTGTACCACACCAACATGCTTCTGTCACAGGCTGTGCGACACCTGCAAAATAGAATCCACAGGCAATAGAACGAGACACATTTTAAGAGCAGGAAATAAACGAACACGTAGAGATGTAATACTTCCAGCCCAATCTCCTAACGTTACTCCTTTGTTTAAATATGTGAGCAATCCCATTTGATCTACTCTGGTGCTTACAGTTAAGCTTATTAAGTGTTTGCACGGCAGTGGTCTACATGCAGAGGAGTCAGAAGAGAAGGGAAAGAAAAGGAGTGTGACACTGCTTAAAAGGGGAGTTCTGGCGGTAGGAAACAATGCCTTGCTCTCCTTCCCCCCAGGGCAATGTTCTCTTTTCAGCTGCTCACGGTACTGTACAGCACTGGCATCAGGCTCTCCCTCTGTGTTTGGTGTTTTCATTGACATTAGCTATGTAAATGCAGTAATAATTAGGGCTGTCAAGACGAAAAAAATATTTCAAAATTGTTGCCAAAACAAAAGCCTGATTTTTTTTTTTTTTTAAATTCCAGGTTGAACTCAGTGATTCATTTTGTCTCAAATTATATGTCATTTTATTTTCAAGGTGTTTTTCTGACTACTCACTAAAATTGTACTCATTGTCACTATTTTCAGACAACTATGTGGGAGAGAACAGTTATCACTGTTTCTACAATGAGAACTCTGGGCAGAAAAGCACTTATGCACTTGCTTCCTTCACTTGCGAAGGATTTAGGCACGTACTTAAACTTAAGTATAAGTACTTTTTGGAACAAGGATGTCTCATAGAATCAGGGCTTGATTCAGAAGCTGTACATCTAAGGAGCTCCGTCTCTTAACTCCTCGCTCTAAGCACTAGAAAATCTCCTGCTTCAGCAGTATAAAACAGTGTCATGCTGTTTGATACATTTCTTGGCACATACACATTCTAATTCACAATAATATCATTTCTTTCCTTTTTTAGTTTGCTTTTCTTTGGGTGCAATGTACTATGTTTTACTGTATGTACTACTACATACTGCTTGCACAATGTTTTGCATGATCTAATATTCTTTGTTCAAAACTGCAAAAAAATCTAAATAAAGACTATAGTGTGTCGCATCAGTATAGGCATCAGCTAACGTTTTCTACGGCATATGGTACTTCAGAAGCCATATGTACCACTGTTTAGTGATTCTGGCAAAGAGGCACAGAATGGTGAAATCCAACTGCCAGGATTTCTGAAAACAAATATGTAAATGCTCCAGTGCTTTTGTTATTCATAACATACCTCTAACACAGCACATACAATATGCTGTTCATTCTGTAACTAGTATACTACTAAACTATATTTACTTCGGTTCTCATTTTTAAAGATTTTTCTACGTATGATTCCCCCATCCTTTCCATCAAAATCAGTTTAAATTGGAATTAAAAAAAGAAAGGAATTTTACTTATTTTAAAAGGATCCAATTTTATGGGATCGTAGATCTACATAAGAATCTGATAGTGGAACAAAGAAACACATTATTTCAGTTCGAGAATGCCCATTTTAACTCGTGGGATGAAAGCAAGAAAAGGAACCTGCATTTATGAAGATGATCAGTTTCTACCGAATGAAGTCTGTTAAACCAGGAATAGTCTCCCAGGGAAAAGTGGTTGGTTGGCCCCACTCACCGGCTAATGTAAAGCTAGTAGGCTGACAAAACCTTTGGGAATATATTCTAGGAAACAATTGTTGTAGGGAAACAGATGATTTCAGACGTGTTCAAAGGTAGACCGGAGCTGCAAAAATCTGACCTGGGTTGGGAGTCGTCCTGGCAAGCTGGCGTTTGGTCACTAGCAGAGAAACAAAGGAGACACGTTCCATGGCCGCAGGTTTCTCCCCAGAAGGGCCATCAGCATCTGTGCTGGCATCTTTTGTGCAGCAACCTAAAAAAAAAAAAATCAGAACATTGACATTAGGGCAGCACACAGAGCTACGCAGTGCCTTCCCTGCTTGGGGGAGAATAACTTGTGGAGATCAGTCCTAGGACACACATACAGCGTTTGTGTATCAGTACAGGCTCTTCAGACCACATCAGTGAACGCAGCAGCATTCCTTCAAGAGCCAGTGCTGGTAGATAAACAGAAGGAAATAGACAAACCTCATTAATGACCTTTGACAGTGAGACTTAACGGCACTACTCATGTCTGCAGAGAGCCTGTCATTTTTGCTTGAGATTTTGCTATGAAGAAGTGTTTCATAATGTTGCTATTTAACGTTCAACTTTACTATTCACAACAAATGATTTAAAAATTTTGTTGTCATGATCGCCTGTTTTTGGATCATCAGTGTACATGGGGACTGAAGTTATGGGTGTGATCAGGTATGTTAGCAAGTTGTTCTACTTTTGCCTAGTCTGAAAAGAAGACTATTGTAAATCACTGCCAGAGCCAGTGTTTAGTTCTGCTGTGTCTCTTTGAAACACCAGTGAACAAGGCAAACCTAGAGCTGGCTGGGGAACAGGATGAGAAAACATTTGCAATGCTTCTGTTAAACACTTGTCCTGTCAGTCATCATTTTTGATATTTAAAATGTTAAAAAAAAGCAAAATAATCATTTGCTTGCACAACCTTACACAAAAAAGTTGTCCTCCTGAAAGTTCTTGAAAAATTTCAGCCATCTCCAAACATGATGACATTACATGGGTCACACATGCCTTTCTCCCAGGAGAGCAAGACCTACTGTTTTGTTTCTTCACCAGTCTTGAACTATCACATCCCTTTTCAGCAGGTACAACCTCACTCAAAGCGCTCTTACGCCCACTGCGGTCTCTGTTTAACTTTCTTCCTACACCTATAATGACAGACATGCTTATAACTAAACTCTTTGGACTAGTCCCCACTTCATTACCCTGAAACTTAACGGTCTGGAGGCACAAATGAGTCATACTGCCTTTTTCCCTCCCCAGCCCCCAGTGCTGACCGGGATTCTGCTTTCCTCCTGGGAAGTTCACAGAAGTAGTCTGTGGTAAAACTGAAGAGACATGTAAACCTGATCCTCTTCTGCACAGAACTAGGCCTCTCGCCTATAAAGGCCCACACTTCTTCCATTCTGTCTATCATAAAAGCCACCCTCAAAATTAGCTTTTTTGTTTTCCCAGTTTCATGATTCACCAAGCCAGAATGTAGCTTGCTGGAGACCTGTTTTTTTTTCTATTCCGTTCTAGCCAGCAGGTGATAAGAAGCTGCCATAAGAAATTTTGGCTTTGAGCTTAAGCAATGTCTGGATCAGAAAAAGGGAAAAATTGAGTGTGAAGTGGCAAAAAAACCCTTAAGAAGCCAAAAATAAAAGAAGAATAAACAAACACACAATCTGGCCATGAAAAAAGCCACAGTTTTCCCTCAGTGCACTAAAACCAATCATGTACAATCACAGAACATTTTGAAAGGTGATAAGAAACCTATTAGGAGAGGGGAGAGAGAGAGAAAAAAAAAAGCAAAACAGTCCAACACACGGTCCAACAGCCGAAGCTATGGACAACAGTGAGAAAAACTGCTGAATAAGCAAAATATGCTGCGTTCCAAAACAGGGGTATGCCAAGCTGCAACCTAAAACAAAAGAAAAAGAAAAGCAAAAAGGGCTGGCACTGTGCCGTTGCCTGATAAGACGTTGTACAAATCATGCAGCCACTGATAAGACATGCTACGCAAAGGGAAGAGAGCCAAAAAAGCATGTTGATGGAATAGTGTCATGCACATCAGCATTTATGGCAGATCAAAGGTTAACCCTTGTATTACTTCTTGTGAATCCCTCTCGAATGAGCAAGCTGGTGATTTAATGGGCTAAAAATGGAGTTATATCAATACACCATGGGTTGCTGGCTCTAACTCTAACCATTGGCAAAGGGTTTGTTTTTTACCAAGAGGGCGATACATGAAATAGCTGCTTGCCTATAATGCAAGTGTGACCTTGTCCCACAGAGTTTAATGCCGAGTATTTGCAAACAGCTTCCCACCCTCTTCCTCCAAGTAATCAATACAGCAAGTTTGGAAAGTATCTTCCATACTTTGTCCCGAATGGTCAAAGGCCTGGAGGAAAGGGTGTGGGAAAGCTGGAAGAGGTATGATACAGTTGCTGACACATCTGTGCTTTTTGGCATAATTACAGCTGAGAGCACAAAAGCAGCGGAGAAAACCCCAAACACCAGTAATAATGACGAGGGCGAGTACTGACACCGCTTCACTGCAGGCATCTGTTTCCTTAGCAGAGCAAGCCAGGTGTGCGTCCCACAGTCGAAAGAGAGAGACAGACAGACTCCTCTAGAGGGCGATTTAGAGCTCTCATCTCCAAGACTGGCCTATTTTTAGGGGAGAAGTTCTCATCCACAATATAAACCCTCTAAACAGACTTGCTGCTTCTCATAAATCACCATCCTTAATTTCACAGGGAGTTTGGCTTAAAATCAGAGGAATCATCTGAACTGTTCTGTACCTATGGAAATACAGAATTTGCATGTTTTCTATGAACAGCTTTACATTGAGGTCCTCATCTTATCTCAGCACTTCTGGTCTCTCCATCTGAAACATGGCCTCTAGCTGCCTGTACAGGAACCACTGGGTTGCTTTTTCTGTCATTCCCTGCAGATCCCTACTATCTCTGCCCTAAGCAGTATACTCTTGTTTTATAAGACCCAGCTCAGTTTTGAAACTCCCTTAGTCCCCTGAGATCTGACAGTCTGCTAAAAATACCCCTGAGTCTGCATCCTGTTTTTACACCTAAGGTTTTAATCACGCTTCATGCTTCTACCTTTTTTCTGTTGTAAGCCAAATTCTCCCAATTGCTGGACATGAGCACAGGGATCTAAATTCATCTCCTCCTTCCCTTTGCTTCCTGCAAGCTCCTTGCAGCCTGAAAGAAATCGCCTAACTGTGCTGTGTCTCCTTTTCTCTTCTGTAAAAGAGAGACATAGCTTTCTCACCTCACAGAGCTGCTATCGGAATAAGCTTCCCAGTGTGTATGGGACACCTGGACACCAAAATCCCTTTGGCTGTCTGGGCTGTAGCGAGCATGGCTGGAGAGCCATATAAGGTCTTGGAGCGGGATTCCCGATATGTGTTCCTGCAGAATGAATGAATAAATTCTGTTCTGCATCTAGTGCCAGCACTTGCTCTTTGCCAGTTGGCAGAGGGTACCGCTTCCTTTGCTGAGGAATGCTTAACATTCACCTTTCTTCTCACCAAGGGGTGCCACAGAGCCTGGTGGAAGTATTTTTGAGCAGCCAGGCATGTGCTGAGCTATGGGACTGGGGAAATCAGAAGAATCCAGCAGAAGGAGCTCAGTCCTGTTTTTCAGGTGCTCCTTTTTACCAAAGGCCAATAGCTAATACATGCCTTTCCCTTACCTGCAAGTTCCTATGGGAACACATAAGGGCTCTACAACAGCAAATTTTGGAACAAGCATATATGTGAAAAACTTCTGATATAATATTTGAGTCCTCAGATGTTCAACCATTTGCACATACTGTGCAAGTGCCTTATTTGCATAGAATTTGTATTTGTTGGTATTCACATTTGTAGGAGAACGCATACATTAGATTAATGTCATCACAGTTTATGGGGATCATCTGTGCCACGATATCAGCTCAAAGCTCTGACTGCGTTCAGTGCCCCGCAGTGCATTACAATCATTCCTGTCCTCCCAGGAGATAAGGTCAAGATTGGGCCACATAGAGATGGGGCAGCTAACCCTACATTACCCAGCTGCAATGGTCATGTCCAGACCTGAGCCCAGTCTCAGATGAGAATCGTCTTTGCTAGTCTGCGCTAAGTTTTTTGCCTAATTCTGAAGCAGAGAGGCTTCAACATAACGAGGAGCAGGAGGACAAAGCTGCTGAGCCCACATTTCCAGAAGTGAAGTTATTTGAACTATTTGAAGATAGTCTCTTAAATTTCCTTATCTGACCCTCTCTGGATGCTTCATGTTTTTAGTGCCTAACTAGGGGTGTTCAGATGCAAAGACACCAAACTGCACAGGCACCTTTGGTCTTACAACAGCGTGCCTCCCCTCTGTACAGTGACAATGGGGATTATTCACTCCTTGGTTTACCACGGCACCTGGGTGATCCAGTCTGTCTAGACAGC